TGTTGATGCATGTTCAGGGACGATTGAGATAATTCTACATCAAGTTTCGCGAGCCTCGTCAGGACCAGAATCTCACAAAAATAGATGCTCTCACCTCTTCAAGAGCACTCGACAGCTTGGACTCCGAGAGCTAGGCTGGTGGGCGCCACAGCGACGCTCTGCCATCCTCACTTCGCTCTCTGCTCGAATTCAGTATATTGGTTTCGTTTTTGAGTCGTTCGGCTTTCTGCTAGTGGGAAATGTAGCAGATTCGGTGCTCTAGCTGGGGCTGGAGTTCTGGTGTTCAGGTGTTCAGGCTTTCATGCGCTTTCAAATGGAAAAGGTTTTGTTTTGTGTGTAGGGCCAGGGTTGAAACACAAGTATGGCAGAGTCTCACCCACAGAATTGTGTTGGAAGCGTTGCAAATCCATTGCCCCCATAATCTGAGTACTTTGGAGCCGCATGGAGCCCCAAAGCATCCTGGACACATTACGACCAGTGCGACTCCTCTCTCGCTACTGCGGGATGCTGCGGGAAAGTGTCCAGCTCTTAGACTCACGCTCCTACACCAGGACATTCGTTTGTCGAGACTGAAAGAACCGAGTTTGCCGTATCCCCTCCAAAGATCCGAGCGTTTCCTAGCATTCATCTAGCTATCGCGTCGCTTTAGCTCTGCCCAAGTCTCTGAAGGCCGCGTGGCGCTCACCACCTCCGGCCCAAATCTTGGCCCCACCTTCGTCGTCCACCCTGAGGAAGCGCTTCGGAGGGCTTACTGACTTTAAAGGCCTGGTGCCCCCTTAAGGCCTTAGTGCCCCCTTAGGCCTCTTGCAACCAAGCGGCAGAATCAAGCCAGATTCTGAGGTGCAGGGTGTTTGCACCCACCCCGAGCCCAATCCAACCTGCAGAGTTGGCATCTAGACACAGCTTAGAGCGCTTGAGCGTGTCGTGCCTGCTATTTTCATAAGATTTTGTTGGGTGAGATGCTTTCGGACTAGGTCAGCTGCAGTCTGAAGCCCTTTTTCCCTTTACTCGTTCCAAGACTCAGACTTAGGTACAGAGCTCTGCTTGAAAGCTGGGCTCCAGGACTCTCACTGCGCTAACCCGGAGAATCCACTAAGACGTCCAGTTCCGTCTAAGCCCTTATTGGATTTCGTTACGAGGCCCCAAACAAATTTCGGGACAGGATGTGACAGGTAGCCCACGGGCCAGCCTGATTCGCTTTAGTCGGTTTGCTTGGGGTTCTCGGAATTCTGTCAGCTGTAGTCTGAAACCCCTTACTAGGGCCCTCAAAGCTTAAGGTTTTCAGGGCCGTAGCTTCAGCAGGGAGGCAGGAAAACTTCAGGCGTGCTTAAGGCCCTCAAAGCTTCTTTAGCCAAAGAAGGCTAGACAGCTTCAAGCCCGTGGAGGTTTCAGGATTTATGTAAGGGTCTTGACTTCAGCTCAGGTCCTCTCCCCCTAGCTGAGGGCACTCCCAGGGGGCATTTCCCCATAGAGGGTCCCCGATGTATCTGGCGGAAAGGGGCCTCCTACCAAAGCTAGCGCAACACTGGATTGCACGTCGCTCGCAGATTGCGAGCGCATGCGGACAGCGAAGAAAAACTGTATACAGCTTGCGCAGCACAAGCTCCGTTTAAGGCGCAAGCAAAGCGCAGTTGATGTAGGGTTCAGTCTTGGGCTTCATCGGATGGGGTCTAGATTGGGGTGCCATCGTCCTCAACCTCACTCCGGTGATTTGGCTTTCCTGCCTGGTGCAGAGCGTCGACGCCCGTGTTGGAGCCATAGGCCTCTCGCAAGAAACCAACAAGCTAATTGCGGTTTGTGGTTGCGAGATGTTGCAATGGAGCATCCAGTACGGACCATCATCTAGGATACGAAGGAAGGGTTCAGGGCTGTACTGAGGAGGCATTTTGCGGCAATATGCAGCACCCTGTTCATGCAAGGAGGCGCCCTGAACTCAAAGTCCCGTTGTGCCTCCCAGCCACTTGCTCCCGAAACGCCATCGGAGCAGCGAATGCTGAAGCCGGCGTAGAGGCAGAAGTTGAAATCTGCGGGACGGACGGTGACGGCACAGCGGCTCACAGCGACGGCAGTCAAGATAACAGCGACATATTGACCCCCGCAGCCCTAAGCTATCCAAAGTGAATGCTTTCTTCCAGGACGCTCCGTGCAGAATTCTGGAGTTCTGGCCCTGAACGGTCGAAGGCCCAGCTCTCGAACCAAATATAACATAAATGCTGGAAGCCGGCCGTCAAGATTATGAGAAAGGGAACCGGCCTCCCACCGAGAGCTTGCCAGCAATGCAGACATCTTCAGTCGGTGAACACCAACCTGGAGCTGTGCGACAGATTTGGTCTGCGGGGATACGGCCAAAAGGCCGCCAACCTCCCTTGCGGCAAAGCTGGTGGGCGTGGGTGGTGCTTTGTAGTGTGCTTGGGCTCGTTAGTGTGCGTCAGTTGCCCTTGATTTTTGCCTTTAGCTGCTGGCAACCATTGACACCCGTCACGGTTGGCCATGTCCCGCCCATTTCGGTGCTGGGAAAGTATCCCAGCTTTCGAGCGTTCTTGGAAGGCTCCCACCGTAGCATTAACGTGAGCCATCGACGAATAGCTCCCTTGCTGGGGGTGGGTTGGGCATCTTTTCGCCGAGGTCGCAAGCTCTAATCCTCCATGACTCTTGATCACCATAAGCCCTAAACTAAACTCATCAGACCATGAAAGGTGAGACTTGGCAGATTCCTCCCTGGCAGCAACTCTTCATGCTCGCGGGACTCACAGCGGAGGACAGATTTTGTACTCATCCGGCCCATAGCACACCGGGAGCCCAGCTGGAATCGATCAGGCTGCTGCCTGTCAGCACCAGATAGGCCCCAGGCACCTTTCAGGGCTGAAAGTCTTGGCCTTATAAAGCCCTGAATCGCAAACTCTGAACCAACGTTGCTCACATGTCAGGGTCCTGGGTAAGGCTGTTTAAGTCGAACGACATGGTCATGAAGCTTAAGCTTAAGGGCAGAACTCCAGCAATATACCCAATACATCTTCACATGGTGCTGGCCAATTTCGGAATGGAGTTCTCTCTCAACCCTTCACCCATAGGCTGTCAGGATTTCCATGAAGTTCAGAAAGACATGTCATGACCACTCGATGCTTCAAAAACTGCTCATAAACATTCACGGTTCGTAATATACACATGTCTGTCTGTCTGTCTGTTTGTCTGTATGTATGTATGTATGTACGCATGCATGTATATGTATAAATAAAGATAGACTAGAGAGCGAGAGAGATGCGAACAGTCTTTGAACTCGTCGCCTTTCGGAACGACAGCCGCTTTGTGCTTGTCCAGTCGGTCAAGGTGCCGTTGACGGTGTGCGTGATGTCTACACCATTGTAGCTTATGCTCGTCACCTGACACGCGCATATGCAGTGCCGCAGTGCGCGGGGCCCAGCAAACATGCAATTAGACCACAGGCCATCTTGCAATTGCCGTTCTTCTGCACTAGATTGCTTCTGCGCAGGAATCAGCCGACAATCGTCAACTGAGACCGCCGACTGTGTCTGCCATGGTGAAGTTGCATGTCACATCCTCGATGAACTCCTGGCTGAATTTGGACCTCACAGCAGGCTCCCGGCGATGCCAAGTAGAACAGTGACAAGAACCGTCCTCATGGTCGCCAAGTGACCGTAAGCACTGCAACAGGCCAAGCAACAGTATGAATGCACAGACTTCTGCACAGGAGCCCAAGTGGCGCATCTCATGTTCTGAGTTCCAGGCGTTCCGGCTGGGACCGTTTGTTGGGTCGTGGCAGGCGCCAGGCCTTTGACGGAAGGATTTGCCATCTGCAGGGGCACAACTGCACAACCTGGTAGGCGCCAGGCCCGACGCGAAAACATCCCGAATGCTGGAGTCGTTGTAATCAGCTCCATACCTGACAGCTGGTGCAAGGTTGCGCACATCTGATCATTCCTTGGCCCATGTCAAGAATGCATCAGGCGCTTTCTCTGACATGAAATGCCATGGCGTAAGCCCCTTGCGAGAAGTAGATGCTGTACTGCATGACTGCGGACGTGTCCGCCGGAATCGACCACTCGATGCTTCCTCCGGCTTCAGCTGCACGTTTTAGCATGATATCCCACTCGATATCCACCCAAGAGTTGAGGGGCTTTGGCGCTCCAAAGAAACTGCACCGACGTGAATCACGGCGCTCGAGACTGAGCTACCCTGAACACCTGAAATCCAAGCTCCATCACACTGCGCCCTAAACCTGCCCACTCTGACGCACAGCTGAAGGCCTCCCAACATGTTGGGGTCCAGGTCGAAATCAACTGATCAGGCATCATATGCGTGTGTGAGGATGCATTGGCAAAATCAAGGGTCTGGGTTGAGGTGTCCACTGAAGTTACTGGGAGTCTATAGTCCAGGACGGTTGTGTTTTCGGGTTCACGTTGAAAGTGCTCCAGGCAGGGCAGGTCAGGTCCGCTGCCGGCTCCGAGGACTTCATTCGGGACACTGCAGGCGCTGAACGCTTGAATGTGTCTTTCTAATTTGGGTTCAGGCAACGCATCGTGGCTTCTTGCGCAGGGGTTCAAGGTGATCCGGCCGAAAGAAGAATCGCTTTAGGGGGGAACCGGTAGTAGTTTGTGCTAAGTTGCTTTGGCCTTACAAGGGGCCTCTGGCCAAAGTGGGCACCAAGGACCCTTGGCAAACGAGCCATGTGCAACCGTGGAGCCAAAGTTGAGATTCGAGACCACAGCATCTTGGTCCGAGATCTGGATGCCTGGGGAACCAGCAGATTTGGCACTAGTCAAAGGTACTCAGAGATCGTTAGAGGAGCCGGATGCTATTCAGTAAGTGCTCATGGAGTCCGATCCAGTCGTGCAGTGTCGGCCGACACGCTCAACTGAGGGAGTGAATCTTCAGCAGCTTGCACAGCTTCAGGCAACATAATTACTTATCGAACTACAGCATCAGTATCAGTACGTTAACGTGAGAGCTCTGAATTTCGGTCGAAAACCGGCTGCAATCTGTCAAAGCAAGGTGCCTACGGGGGTGCTCTGCTCGTAGGCCACCGACCGCGTGTACACGACCCAGTGCCTCAGCAATGCCACAGCAGCTACCACAGGCTGGGAGATTCCAACTCCATTCTAATTCGCTCCAACTCGGTCTTCCTGACAGGAGCCTACTCGAAGACTCTGTGAAGGAGCCCTCACAAGAGCTGTGGTGAACAAGCACATCTGGGCAAAACCGCGACCCAAGAGACAACCTCCTCCACCCAGCCCTGAAAAAACCCTGACATCATCAACAACCGAATGCGCAAGCCAAGCATCCCCTTACCGGGGCAACCAGAAAACATGAGCAAGGCCGGCGACACAGATGAGGAGGAGGAGGCACACGATGGCGGTGGGGATAGGTGACAGTGCACCAGCCTATATAATTTCTGTGGTTACTATGGCCTCTCCCATCATGGCGAAGCCAGGAGGGGCGTGATGCCAGCAGCTTTGCGAGCTTTGATCTAAGCAAGGCCTCAGAGAGCCTTTTTATGGGGGTAGCCAATGGTAACTTGCCCAGTCACGTGTAATGATCGAACACGGTGTCCGCAGGCACAGAGAAGGAGTTTGTTCCAACTGGTACCACGCCTCAGCTTGCCGCGGCTGACGGGTGCTCGGACAAGGTCGGAACCAACAAGAAGTTGCTACGAATATCCCTTCTCGACCCTTTGAAGGACCCCTTCCGCAAACAGCCATGGCACCAAAGGGAGTCCCAGATCTTCCGGTGCCAGTGGCACTGGTTGCCATGTACAGCACGTAGTCCTGCACAACATGGCAAGGCTGTTTCCTTGAGAATGAGAACATGTGTCGGACAAGTACGCCCGAGACCTAGCGGCACAACAAGCGTGCCCACACACAGAGCTCTTGTTGCATCTTGTTGCAGAACAGGCCCGTCCCCTGCAGGGGTACTTGGCCCCTGTCAGCTTAAGTCAGTCTCGGGAAGCAGTCTACCACACTGCAGCTTCACCCGTCGGCCTGGTTGTAGGTGACGTCAAAAGGTGGCCCCCAGCTCAAGGTACCTCCAATGCTCAAACCAAGGTATTATTAGAGGAGTCTAAGCTCTCCAAAAGGCTCCAACATGTTCCCTAGTTTTGAAGTTCAATTGCCTCCTATATGAACTACAAACTTTTGGGAGGGCCAACATCCTCAATGTTGGCGGAGCTTCGGGGATCTTCGGGGGCACCTCCGATCTCCAGCGCATCCAGGTCTCTGTCCGGGAAGGACACAAAACCGACGGATGAGATCCTGAGTGCAAGGGTTGAGCATGGTTTAGGAATGCTTGCAGGTCAATAAGGGCGAATATGGCCGAGGACCTAAGGACGGATGACATGCCGCACGTTTAGGAAATCGACTGCGTGCAAGAATCGTCTCAGCAATGGCCACCGAGCTAGGTGTCTGCTGCTCATTGCCGAAGGCAGTGATGAAGATACCGATGTATGCCATGCCGGTGATCTGAGCCAGGTGCTGGGCTGATAAGCTCGGGTCCAAGCGTTTGCAGTAAAGAACTGCAGCTCTAGAGACATCTGCATACTCCCGAATGGGGCCACTGTCATGGCTAGTTCTGCGACGGTACGGAAGCAGATCAACTATCCTTGCTAACTTGTCGCTGTTACAGCGACATACATCTCCCAAGCATAGCCAGACTGAGCCAACGACATTGGTGTTCTCCGGAAAGTTCACCAGCAGATCTCCTTGTACCACTACGTAGCTTTGCTATTTCTCCAAGGCCCAAGTGGATTGCGGACCCTGACCTTGCCATTTCGAGTGACCCCCACATGATTCGACGCTGGCTAAAATGCCCATTCGTCCTGGAGGCTTGTCCGTGTCCAGCTGGAACTTGACTGTCCCGGCCCGGTCACTCTGGAAGTAGACGCGATACCTCTGAGCTTCGGACAAGTTGGGCTCTCCGAGCTTGGGAGACGGGAGTTTTTTGGGCGATGATATTGAGATCATGGCAGTCCACGGCAACTTCCTCGAAACATGATGATGCCCACTACCCACCTTCCCTAAACCCTCAACCCTACATCCTTGTGCCTTGAGCTTTGCAAGCACCTCGCCGTCAGTTCACATTCTACGAGTATCCATGTCTTGAGTGCAGAACGCCCCAAAATCACATGTAGCTACTACCTCAGCGGCCATTTTTGTCAAAGTTGCAGGTCCACGATCCGCTCATCAGGAGGAGGGTCCCATGTAATCTCCCCGCCCACCTCATTCTCGTCAAGATCCTGCGAGATTTAGGGGAGGAGGCTTTGAGGTTCAACTCACGATGACACTCGGACCAAGATAGATCCGAGGGAACCGGAAGCCGCATGAAGGATTGAATTGGGCATCTAGATCAGAAGGCCCTAAAATCGATCCAGGCTTCGCGTGAGCGACCAAGAAGCGGCAAACGTGGAAGCTCACTCTTCGCAAGGACCAGCGCTCGCTTTTACAGTTGAATGTTGGGCGTACAAGTAAGGTCATACAGGGAGGAAATCTGACCGAGGAATATCTGGAAACTAAGGCTCAAACTTCAAGAGTGGGTTTACTGACTGAGGTTGCAGGTTCTAGTGATTTCTGGTCCCGATCGAAGAGCGTGATGTTGTCCACAATCGCTATTGAGTCAATGAGTTCAAGGGCGGCCGGGGTCGTCATCTCGGCGAGTGTAGACTCCGAATACCTGAGACATTTTGCGCATCGAGTCAATTGGGTTCCCAAGTTGCCGGCAGGCTTTCGGACTTGTACTTCTTTGATTTCTGTGACTTGTCTGTCTATCTGTTGCAGAATGAGGATTATGAAGCGAGTAGCTGAAGCTCTATGCACAAATGATCTTGCTGCTGCGCTTTTTGTTATTTCGCTTTACAAGGTCGAAGGCTTTTACAATGCCATGCTGCACCTGACCTGTGTTGTGTAATATTGGGGGGGGGGGGGGGGGGGCGACAAGTGTTGGGATCAGGGTATGTTTCGCGGGTATGTTTCGGGTATGTTTCGCTGCATCATAAGCTACTTTACCTGCAAATATCGGGAGTATGTTACGGGGGTATGTTAAGTTTCGAGGGCGTGCAACCCGTGTGCCCTTCTTAAACTTAAACCTGCCCCCCCCCCCCCTTTAAAAAAAAAAAAAATGTCCTTTTGCCATAGATGCAACGAAGTCACACCAAAAGGTGCGTGTGGTTGTATAGTGGCGTGTCCAGCGGGATAAAGAACCTGAAAGCATTGGAACTCAGTTTAGCAAGGCGCTAGTACTGCACGCAGCCGTAAAGTGTGGATCCAACAAGCCTTTCAGCGTTAGCCCTTGTTGCGACCCCCCTCCTCACCGGATCTTCCGACGATGGAGCTAGGGATAGCCAAGGCTAACTTCGAAACTGCTTCAGTATCGAGGCCGAGGTCCTTCTTGTTTCAAAAAGCTTTCTCGGCCAGCCTTCACAATCTTCGAGCCTGAAAACATTCGGAAGGATCGCAACTGCGACAAGAGGCTCGTAGATACCGACGGAGACGTTGCCCAAGTACTGGCGACCCTGGCCATAGGCGTTCTCCGACAAGTATACGTTGTATCGGATGACCTCCAGCGGTTGCACAGCGCTCACGCGACTCACGCGGTCTCCCTCCTGAATAGCTTAGGGTTTACTGAGGTGATTTAGGAGACGTTTACAAAGCTGTGCTAACAGCATACCACCTCAGTTTCCTGCACAAGCAGTCGATAGTGTGACCAAGCAGGAAGAAGTTTCCCTCGACGTGCCACAAACCGGACCAGATTTAGGGTGAAGTTCTTTACAGACAGCAAACCCATCACGAAAAGCAAGGCGTCGACGAGTACCCCATGAACAGTCGAGGTGCATGGAACTCATCCGAGGGCGGTTCCCAGGTGAGGTTACCGGCGACTTCCCCACGGTCCACGTCAATGTCCAGGAAATCCAAATCTCGAGCAAGGGCACTGGTGTCGAAGAGGCTGTGCGCCGTTGGAGTGGTCTGCTCCACAAGGGTAGACCTTTCTGGCTTTATGATTATGGTTGGTGTTGCTGAGGGCTTCTGGCACGGTTGACCGTAGGGCTTCCGCATGCGTACTTACAAGTTCGGCAAGAACATGCCCTAAACCGTGACGCGACAAACCATACTCCTTTCCACCTGCATTCTCAGCGAGACCCTTTGAGCAAACTTGAGCTTGGATGCTTGGTATACACCACAAAGCGGGTGTAGGCGTTGCGAGGTGTTTCTGCAGGTGTCAGCAGCATATTGGTTCCGAAAGGAACATCCTGACAGGGTTGTATCGACCGCGGGCTTTACACTCTACCTTCGGGGTCCTTCGCGCAGCCATGAAAGAAGGAAGACGCGGGTTGGCAGTTGGGGAAGCCTGCGCCTATACATGAAGTCTAGACTGGCTGAATCAATGAAATCCGGAGTCTGTCGACTTCTTCATGGGTTTGGAGTGCAAGGGGTCTTCTTTAGGGCACCAGCTTCCAGCATCGGTGACAACGCCGCACCTGTTCGATCTGCGATCGGTTTGTCCCGATGTCATCTAAGGAGAGATAAACGGCATAGGCAATGACCTGAAAGCTGGCACCACATCAACACTCTTGCCGCTTGCCTCTGCAATGCTCTGCAAGAACAGCTTCTGCTAATTCGTGACGCAATAGGATTTATGGCTGTTGGACGACCGATGCCGGGGCGCCCGATCCCAATCGGAGCCAGGTGCATTCCAGCTGACCACTCCGCCGAGATCCTGTGCCAGGCTCCGTAGCAGTTTGTAGCTTTGTTTACAGTTTAGAGAACTCAAGTTTCAGCCCTCTACAGCAGCATCGCCCGAAGGGCCATAGGCCTCCAAGTCCAAATCTTTGCCCACGAAATCCACGTTCGAGACGCTGGCATTGGCATCGTGGATGACGTGGTATTGCGGAGTGGTTTGCCTCAGTGCTGTTTGATGGGGCAGCCCGGGAAACTTCAGGTAGGATCAGGGAAGGGAGGCCAGGCCGATCCTGTGCAGCCCGGGCCTATGGGCACTTGTCTTCGAACTTTCAACTGCTCTTGCTCAAAGGGGCTCAACCAAGTCCGAGGATGCATAGATCACCACCTTGGCTGGCGGATGGATGCATCAAAGCCCTGGATGTTTCAAAAGAGTCCACAACCACCATGAAACCTGCAGCAAAAAACCGAACTCGACTCATCCCTAAACCACATAACGTTCTGAAACCCCGCACAAGTCAGAGATCCTGGTCCCAATGTGAAACTGAATGATGCGTGTGAATGTGTGTGTGCGTGGGTGTGTTCCTTCCGGAAATGAAAGGTGGCCTCTCTGCCGGACCCAAACTTTGCACAGTGCATCCATTGCTTCCGAACGAGATACCAAGCTGGCCTTCCTTTGTGTTGCACTGTTACACCATTTTGGGTTTCCAGTCGTGAGGCTGAAAGCACGGATGATTGTAGGGTTTGGGTTTGGGATGGCAGCCAAAGTCAGTGTGGCTCACAGATTGCGTGTCACCTCACGGTTGCCACGCTAAGCCCACGGCGTGGCTGTACCCATTCCTGTGCGCAGCACACCAAAGCTTTCACCCTCAAACCCCAACAACCCTTCCAACTCTGCATCAAGGCTTACACCGAAGTCAGGACACCCAGCTTCCAGCATCACCAACTCAGCCGAACTGCCCTAAACCCTAACAAGAGAACCGCGAGCTGTCCTGGGAGTCTCAGGAGGTACAAAAAGCAGCTCCGTGCCCACCGAAACCACGCCGAGTTGCGAGCGCCCTGGCGGTTTCAGGTTCAGGGATCCAGGCGATTCAGGGATTTGAGGGTTGGAGGTGAAGGAGTCAGGGGTGTCGCATGGGTGGCGGAGGGTTCGCGGGGAGGGCGGGGGGGATTGAAGTTAACGTGGCACTTAGCGAGACGAGGCCCTAAGAACTTGAAGATTTCAAAGACTTAGATTTCTCCCTTTTTCGTGTTGTGGTGGAGAGCTTGGGGCTTCATGTTTTCGGGACTTGTCGGATTCGGATTGGCAAACACCGCCAGAAAAGATTGCGTTCATTTTCTGGCCGGAACTGGGTAAGTTAAACAAGCTGACGACTACACATAAAAATGACCTCCGGGTTGGGCTACTTTTCGGGACATGGTCCAAAACTTTCCCCTGAAACGGCCTTGGATTTGTTGGGAGTCGGCAGTACCCTGAAAATCTCAGAGCAGAGAAAATGGAGGCAAAGGTCCTGTCCATGGCATGTTGCCATTGTCGCCCGTGATCTTCAAGGGCTCTGGGCCGTCTGCCAGGTACACGTAGTACTCTGTGACCTCTGGTGCTGGCGATTATGTTCAGCACAAGTACACAACGAAGGCATGTTGAGCGACCAAGCACACTGCCTGTTGGTAAACGCTCGGCTCCGTCCATGTGATGTTGGAGCCCAGGTCATTGAAATCCAGGTCCAAGTCCTCGAACACCTTGGCGTAAAAAGGCTTCGGAAAGAGCTCAAACGACTTCCGGAAACCTAGAATCCCACGAAGCCCAGGCATCAACCATTCTCAGCTCTGAATCTTAGGTCGCAGCAATGTTCGACACCATCGAGATCGTGTCAGAAAGCGCAAAGGAGGCTGGTGTACTCTGCTCCACCAGCCAAGACCGTGTGTAGATCCTCAGTCGCGAATCGACTCTGCACCCCAGCACTCGCACTTGTCAGAGCTTTGCTGTTGATATCATTGAGCCCAAATCTCAACTCCAGGCACAGACAAAACTAAGCTAAACCAAAAAACCTGTTGTCGGCGTTTGGAGTGGCTCCATGATTGAAGTAACCTTATGCGGAACCGTGTAGGCTGCAGGAAAGGCGCACCAAGTGGGTAAACGCCGGAACTTGGGAAATTTCCGGAGGAAGCAGCTCGCGGCTGGTACCTTGGTTGGCGCTCTAATACTTTCTTTGACTTCGTCCCATGGAGGGCGGGTAAGGACATTCGGCACGGGCTAGTGGCCAGAGCTGTCAGCCACCACTCCTTCAGCTGGATCCACGCGTACAGATGGCTATCACAGCGCTGAACTGCTGGATGCAAGAAGCTGGCAAGTGGGCCAGTCGGCCGGTGTGAACTACATCTTGAGTCCAATGTTTCCTGCTAAGCGCCGGGCCAACCGGCACAACGTTTCCCACTCGGCTTCGGTTGCTGCCCAGCTCATCTTCCGCGAAGTAGAGCAGATAGTCCTCCCAAACAAGCCACTCAAAAGGATATGCAAAGACCACTAACAGCTTGACTGCTTGACAATGTGCGTGCTCTTGTCTTGAAGTCTCCAGCCTGCACGCGGTCGGAGTCCGAGGGCTCTTGCCAGGTCACGTTGCCGCCAAACTCGAGCGGATCCAGGTCCTCGGAGTAAGAAAAGCGTCCTTTCGAGGATTCTGATTCATGGGGGCTTTGTCCCGGTCAGAAGGTGTTTTCTTGGAGCCGCTTCGCATTTCGGGCCTGGGGCGTTGTGAACGACGTGCCATGACGTGCCTGGAATGGATCCTGGACATGAAATCCTCTGAACTCAGAGATACTCAGAGCGTTTCATCCAATTTTGCCGAGGCACGTCGTCAACGAAATCAACTCCTTGGCGCTCGCACTTGCAGGATGCTGAGCAGCGCAGTACATGCTGGCCCCGTGCCTACAAAAACATCACGAATCACTTAAAGGCGAGGTATTGCAGGGCCTTCCTATTGGCAGATTCTAGAAACCTCAAAGGGTGTGGGATGGGGTCGGTCATTGCATGTGCCGCTGGTCCGCAAAAGAAGAGAGTGACTACGAAAAAGGCTCTGGACACTAAAAAACGTTGCAGGCTTAGGGCTTTGTGACGTAGAGGTTTCGGGTGCATTGCCGAGAGTCCTGAGACTGTTGCGTTTGCGTCGAAGATCCCAAGCGCGGTCGGTGTGGATTGCTCAACCTAGCTGCTGCCACTGCTGGAGGAGTTGGGTTTACCAGCGCCAAGGTCTCGAACTTTCCCCGACGCAGAACACCAAACTGAAACCCACAGAGGACTTTGCGAAATACTACTGGTTTTCCATGTGTAACGATCCGTAGTTTAGCCTTTGGGAATTCAGGGCCACTGACAAGAGAAGCCACCAGCGTAGAGGCCGTATAGATCACCTGAGATCGGGCGAAGCCACCATGAGATTCATATAGTACGTGAGTTTCCCACACTCATCAAGCCGCCAACATCGAAAAATCAAATCCTTCGACGTTCTGGCATTCTGAGTGTAGAGTGACTTGAACACGTGCTACTATTCACAGAGGGAACTGATTTCTTTATGATCGCCAGGCTGCAAAGTGGGTGAAGTCGTTTCGGGGCGTCTCAACCGGCACAGTGATCTGCAGGTCCGACGTGCCCACAGTTCGATAGGTCTTCCTGCTCGGGATCCGTGGACGAGTTGCAGGGGTCCCCCATCGGCGCAGTGCTGCCCCGCTAAACGCTCCAAAGCCCAACCCCAGTCTTCCAGGCCTGCACCAAGCGACCATGGCATCCACCGCAGGGTCGACAAACTCCTGCAAAGGCACAAATGCAGTGGTGTTGTTGCAACCTTGCGAGGGTTGTGCTTTTGCTAAGGGTCTGGATGTAAAAGGCTAAGAATTTGTGGTTTGCAATCTGGGCGCGTGTTTAGAAGGGGCGTCATCATTGTTCAGCATGCTCAGGACCAGAATTTACAGCCCAATACAGCACCCGACACCCTTTTGTAGAAGACTGCCGCACATCTGTTGGCAGTCAGGGCTTCGAGCTTCGAGCCCCATGAGCCCCTCAGCCTTCCAACTTCCGCCGCAAGCTTTTGAAAGCAAGGGCCGCAGCGAGTCTCCGAATGCTAGACTATTCTTGAATGCTTGGAAGGCGAGCCTTCAAGCTTAGTAAAAGTCCTGGACGGACAGCTGCCGTGTGTCGGCTTCGTGGCCGTCCTCTGGCTCGAGGGTGTCATGCCTCGCAAGGACATTTGAATTCGAATCATGAAACACAGCCTACACATGTAAAGGCTCTACTCCTTACAGCACATCCCTGGCATGGACCCATGGTCAGCCGTCGCTACAGGCGGTTTGGGGTCGCAGAGCATGCTGAACAATACCACCAGCTGGGTAAGAGCAACAATGACTAACTGGCCTCCACCCAACTTCTACCCGCGACTCTGCTGCACTGTGGGTTTTGTGTTGAGGGTTTAGAGGGATCCCAACACACACGCACACATACTCCGTACATGCACCAACCCTACCACCCAGACGCCAAAGCCTGTAAAGCCTGTGATGGGTTTCAAATCACCAGACGCATCTCTGAGAGTCTGGCTGAGCAACTGCCAGCGTTTGGTCTGCCACCTCTGTGCGAACCTGGACCGGCGTGGGAGCGGGGGCTTTGCGGGCTTGCTTTCCCAACGTAAGATCGGCCCTGCTGCAATTGCGAGTATTGTGAGCCTACTCAAGCGACACCTGGCCCTGAAACGAAAGCCGCATATAGAGCCCTGTGCTGATCATGACATGATGCAGCCCTTTGGCACCTTCGCCTTGGCGAAGCTTTCCGCCAGAGCTGCCACTGCTGTCTGATCTTCGAGGCCTCGGTGTCGCCAACTCTTCAGAATCCAAAGAGAGAATGAACATTGGGTATTTGGGCATTTGGGTATTTGGATGTGTTTGGGTATTGGTCTGAACATGTCTGTTCGAGTCTGCTGGGCTAGACAAGCGGTTTAGGAGACCTCCAGGTACTGCAGCCTGGGTTGCTTTCAGGATGAACTTGTGCCTGTAGAGCCTTGAAGCCTCTGCAAGCTTCAGTATGTCTAAGACTCAGCAATAGCGGTTGGATGGGGTCTACGCAGAATTCTATCCAGAAACTCACAAGCCGGACGTAACTATAGGCCCATTGAGCCAAAAGCATACCCGCAAGACCTCAACCCCGCTAGCCATACAATGAAGCTCCGCAACTAGTAACCCAAAAGCAAAGACAAACCCCATCCAGAAGTCCAAGGCTCACAAGGCTCACAAGAGCGCACCATCTCTGGTCACTGTTAGTGGCTAAGTGGCTCCTTCTCTCAACAGCTGAAACTGAGGCCGCTGCCCAACGCAGCGGCAAGGTCTCCAGCATTGCTTTGCAGGGCAGCCAACTTGGCCTCGGCCTGGCTCTGCCCGAGGTCTGGAGAGGTCTGTAGAGGTCTTCAAGTTGGGCCCCCCCGATGCACTGATTGTCACAATTCTCTCTCTCTGAAAGCCGCGGAGACCTTTGTCTCGCTCGGTGATTCTGCGTCCAACAAAAAAACTTCCGAACTCCCTCAGAGCTCGCTCTGAATCTGCAACCTGTCAAGAATTTTAAACTTCAAAGAGCTCAGCCCTGCCTCCGTCGGTGGCACGCTGAGCTGAAGGGAGACGTGCCAAATCGGGGAATCTCCGTCCTGGTCCCCGTAACTTCCGACTTCGGAATCGATATTTGTGACATTGGCACCCATCTATAGACACCGAGCCTCCCAGGTCCTTCCGTGAAGCCCATGTCTTAGACTGAGCCTGTTTAAGAGCAGAGTAGGCTCGATTGAACTGTCCCGATCCTGTGCACTGCAGTGCATCAGCATGAAACGACGATGTAACCAAAGGCAGTGTGGTGACGTGTGATGTGGTTTTGGATCTTCCCTTTGTCTGGAGATGTGCAGAAGACTTATGGGACCGTCCCAGCGACCTGGGCTTCAAATTGCATGATGCGTGAGCGAACAAGCCCGTTAACCCACCCGCAAACACTTCCTTCCAGACTTCGGGGGCGTTTTGTGTGACAAGCAGGGCATATGAGCCAAGTGCACCGAGGGCTGGAATTGGCGGTGCAGCTGCCGTCCACCTGCCCTTGCTGTTCCATGCCTCACCGTGCCTTTCTAGAGTTTCAGCCTGCAGCCCAGATGTGCCATGGACACGCGTATCCGGATTGCATATTCCGCCGTGGAATTCTCAACTTTCGGGGCCGCTAAGCAGATACGGACGGCACGTTTCGCAATTTGACGATTTGGAATAGCTGTGCCAGTCAAAGTGCCCCTACCTTGAACCAGGCGCCCCACCCCCCCCCACCCCATCCTCACAAGGTCCCAGAACCCGCTTACCTAACCTAAACACACACAAAATACACCCAGTTGCGCAGAGACAAGTTAGTGTAGCGATCCTTATGGCTATGGCTAGCTGTATGAGCTGTGTCCAATGGAACTCCCTTGAGCCATACTGCAATTCACAGCTCTGCTTTTCTCACTTTGTCCTCATTGTCCTCCAGCCGTCTTCCGTTTCCGCCAGTGAAGAGGGTCACGGACACGCTGACAGCTGCTTCCGGGATGGAAAAACCTGCGGGCCAGTTGCACGTTCTTTGTGAGTATTCTAAGCGTTCTAGAAATATTCTAAGTGTTCTATAAGTATTCTATCAGTATTCTATATGCATTCTACAAGTATTCGAAGTGCGCCCCCCCAAAAACTGCGGCCGAGGTGCTCTGAGCCAAGGCCGCCTTCACGGCAGCCTCCACCACGGCCGCGGTGGCGGCCTCCATGGCGAAGCTTGTCCTGAGAGCATGCTGCGCTCTGATGTCACCTGTGATCGTACTGTATAATGGTACTTTTTTAAACATCTGCTTGACTGGTCTTAAGATGAGGGCTTGCCGCAAAAAAGGCTCTCTTTTTGCCTGATGGTCTTGTTGAAAATAAAGGGGTGTTTTCTGGGCACGGGCCGGCGCGCCTCAGAAGTGCCTTCGTGCGAGCTCTGTTTTTGGGCCTCTGAACCGGTCTACAGCTCTCTTAAAGCGAATTTTTCCTCAGATCAGGCCTTTTTCATGGCGTGTGACTTCATGAGTCGATCCAATGTGTGAGCTGAGGAAGCGGCACGCCAGTGATCAAGGCCACCTTCGGCGTGACCACCTCAGGAAGTCCAACTCGTCCAAAGTCGTTGACTGACGTCATAACATCGTCATAACACACCATAGCGATGCGAACTGTAGCTCCCACCTCCCAGCGGCATTCCTCGGAGGAGGCGTTCGCGGGCACCACCTTCAGAGCAGCGAATCCACGCCAGAGGAGAGAATCTGTCTTCGTCTGTCAACTTCGTCTGTCAACAACCTACGTTGCTAGCTTGGAACCTGAAGCCCAAACGCCTCCGACACCTGGAACTCTCTTCAAGACACTGAAGCCCGAGCAAACCCAACAAAACCCCACAACAAGCTGCAAGCGAACCCCTCGGCCCCAGCAAGCCGCGAGCCCCAGCACCTTCCCAAAGTAGATGTTGTATGCAGTGACGAGGCTCTCATCCTGGCCGCACCGCACATCTGCTCCCAGATTTGCTTTCGGTTTGGTGAGGAGGGATAGAAGGAGCTTGTTTGATAGGGTGTGTAGGACTGGTGGGCTGTGAGCTTCAGGGTTGGTGCAGAAGCCCGTCCTCCGGCGGATCCCAGGAAAGCTCGCCACCCAAATCGCCTGACAGCGTTAGATCTCAGGGGCTTGCATGAGGCCAAATAAATCCAAACTTCCCTTGTGCCGAAAGGGGCCATCCATCTTTCTGGATAGATCTCATGGGATGGGGTTCAGCAGTCAGGTATGCTGCGAAAGGGCGATGTGCAGGTCCGTGAAGCCCGCCTGCATCGAGATCGAACTCCGGAAAGGTGATGTTGGAGACGGAGGCGAAGTTGTCCTTGCTTTCAAGCCAGGGTTCCCAAGACTCACAACCCCAAGCCTGCAATGACGACGGCACCGAAAAGAAGACGCGTTCTCGACAGTTCGAGAACAGCCAAAGAACCTCGTCATACAAGCACTGTTTCTAGTTACGGCATTTCGGGGATCATGCCTGGCAGCACCTGCTGCTGCAGCCCAGTCGCGGTGATGGCATGGTATGCCGGTGTGGTCCTTGCGAGTCGAAAGCATGCCCGTACAGACACCATATAGCCCCAAGCCGCCCAAGCCCCCCACACAACCCCACAGACGATCCTCAGGCACAGCCCGAAGCTCCTTAACTCTCCAAAGCCCAAAACCTTATACTCGAAGCAAGGCGTGATCTGCGCTCCGCCTGTCATGCCACAACAAGCCCCCATTCCCCTTTGGACTTTATGGTGCCGCGAGCACAGGTTATAGGTTGCCCAGGCTGACATCCGCCCAGACTTTATAATTTGCAAGGGTTACGACGATGGCCCTGATGCGACAAGGTGCTTCCTTCTAGACCTACCAGCGCTAGCTCTTGAGACTCTTGAGACCCTACATCGGTGTATTCTCGACTCTCGTTTCCAGGCAAGCTGCTGCTCCATCAGTGCCGACTGTGTGTAGATCAGCAGGTTCCTAGGCAAAAGTGGAAGACAAGTTGTGGGGTCTTCCGCGCAAAAGGGGGCGGGAGCGGCAGCATGCACAAACTGCAAGATACACACGCGGTAGAAGGCTTCATGCTGTGGCAAGGTTGCTCACAAGACGTCCAGAATGGTTCTTAAGGTCCATCCCCGGCATCCGACAACCCCATTCATGGGCCAGCGGACGACATGGCTGGGATCGGTGTCTCTGTCGCCACCTGGGATAGAAGGCTCAGGCAGCGGAGGTGGTGGTAGCTTCGAGATCACCTTGCGCCTGCCTGAAAGGACCCCGACAACCTTCCTTCTTGGCAGAACCCACAGGAAAGCAAGGTGCCTTGGAAGCAATCGTGCCAGCGACCTCGGATGCCACCTGAAAGCGTGCATCGCCTGGCGACAAGGAAAAATTCCAAGCGGCTAGTGCAGGTTTGACGAAGGAAGGATTCGGAAGGATTCAGCAGCTTTCGGTCATCGGAGGAGGAACAGTAGGAACCTGCAACTGTCTGCTTGCGCAGTGTGGTCACGCGAGTCTACAGGGCCGAGGGCCGACCATCTGCCTCAAGAAACACATTACGCCCAAAGGGGGCCTGTCCCAAAATGACCAAGCTCGAGTCGAATGTTATGTATAGTATATATATATATATAGTATATGCATATGCTCAACAAGCTAAATAACCAGGACTAAAATGCCCTCAGAGCTGTGCGCCTGTCGGTGAGTTCGCAACATAGATGCGATACAGCTCAACGCGGTCCTGTATCAAAAGCCGGGTTCTCAGAAGCCGCTCTGAGGTCTGGACTTACGGGCGGGGGGCTCAAACTGGCACGCTTTTCAGATGTCAAGGGGTCATCGCCATAAACAACACTACCAGCAGCAGCACAAGCTGCAGCGGTTGTCAGCCGTAAAGTATCGGCAGTACACACGAGATGCGATGCTCTAATGCACTTCTTGCCCTGGTCCTCAACTGCAGGTGCAGTCCATGTGACGTTGCCGCCAACCTCCTGAACATCCAAATCCTGTGCCGGCCGGGTCCGGTGGCTGTTCCCCACTAAACACCCACACACTTGTAACACGAGGGCTACGGGCCTTGAAGTTTACGTACCATGTTGGTTTCGCACGGGTGAAGTAATGGCTTGCATTGCAGTCCACAATGAGAAGGAACCCTGTGTTGTGATGACATGAGATCGCAGCAGTGAAGTCGAGGCATTCGGTATTGAACGACTCTGACTCAAAAGCCGGGGACACGACTGTGCAATGTCGGAGCAGAGAACAAGCCGCTCAACAAGCCCCACCCCAATGTCTTGAAACAGGACTTCGGCAAAGAGATAAAAGGAAATGACGACAGATGGCATACACTGCTCTCAAACATATCAGATATTTAGTGAACTGCAAAGAACCACAAAGCTTGCTGGGCGCAGACGTTTCGCTGTAAGAAACAACTCATGAGCCCTCTGAGTCCGTTGCCCTGTCTTCGAAGCCAATGTCGGAGACGCTGGCCACCGCATCGAAGATCAAATGCGCCGCAGGCGTCGTTTGCCTTGGAACTGGACGAGTACCAGAGAGGAGAGAGAGGAGGGATGGATTCATGGGATGTAGATGTACAAGCACTTCTAGGGAAAGACAAGTAAGACAAGCATAGCCACTTCACATACTTCTACGGCCCATCACTAGCAGCATGCGCAGTTCTTCAGTCCATGGGCATATGAACAAGCAGGGAGCATCAAGAAGCTGCCTGAATCCATAAGCTCCACGTACCCTTGAACATGATCCGCAGTTTGCCAGACAGCTTCTCATTGCTGTGTTGTCAGAGACGGCTAAATGGGTTCCGCGGGGCAAACACTAGGATTCGCAAGCTCATGACGAAAAGGACAGCTTTGAAGAAAACAGTCTTTTGCCAAAAAGCTCGGACAAGGGGGAGGCCGTGTAGATCAAGAAATGCGTGTAATTAAGCAACGGCGTCTCGGGCACGATGCTCATGTTGTGCACCTGGGCACCGGATCTCTCGTTTGGCCGCTCGAGATAGAGATGTAGATTCAAGCTCTATCCTAAGGCAACATTCGCTGCTGCCTCTATTTGGTAACTGGCAACCGAAACGGGGCGCAGTCCGACGGAACACAAAGTTGAGGAGTCCACTTCGGAATCTGCGAATTCGAGGTTCACTCCTACATCCTGATCACATCTCCAAACACATCCTAACCCTGAAGCCCAAACCATTCAAGAGAAGTACTCGCATTCCTGGCAAGGCACGCCTTTGTTTGCGATGCCGACCAAAGATCGCTCTTTACCCGTGCTGTTCTCGGCCATGTAAACGAGATACTGCAGCCTCCGTGCAGCGTGTGCATTTGACAGCCCATCCGACAGACTTGGGTTCAGTCAGGTTCAGTCGGGTTCAGACTCAGGGCTCGGCACTTCGTCCTCATCAAGTGGAGCTTCCCATAGCAGGTCTCCATACAAGTCTGTCTCATCCAGGTCAAAGTCAAAGAAGGAGATGTTCCTGAGTACAGAGCACGCAAGCACCTCACACTGGCAGTCAGCACAGAACTCGGAAACAGACGTTACATTTGGACCTTGATTATCCTTCCTTCGTTGACTGGGAACAGAGCAGATGTTGCAGGAGAGTCCATCTCTCTCCTTGTTGCCTTTTGCGCGCCAAGACTCAGCACGGGAGAAGACTTGTCCACAAAGTGGTACCCAACCGGTGTGGTCTGCTCTGCCAGCGTGGACCTCGGCTCACAGCGCGATGGCGCGATTCACTTGCCGAAAAGTTGTGCCAGTTGTGCGCGAACATGAGCTCAACTCTCTTGTCTTGCGCAATGCAAAGCAGCATATCCGTTGCTCGTCTAGTCCTGCAATGACGCTAATGAATGAACACAAAACCTGTTGGATTCCAAAAAGGACTTGCCGCCCTCAACACAAAAACCCGCACAACAAACCAGACCCTATGCTCAACCAAGCTGCTTCGTGTACACCACAAACCGGGTATAGTGCAAAGGTTCAGTGTCTGCTGGCGCCAGGATCTGGTTTGTCCCTGCTGGAACATTGAGGCCTCAACGTGGGTAGCTCGTGTCGCGCGCTGCGGGAACTGTGGGTCAACACTAGCCAGGCTTTCCCTTCCACAGTCTCGATCATCCATCCCCACTTAGACATACTTAGACATACTTAGGCATACTTAGACACTGTCCTACTAGACTACATGCCACCTCACACCGGCTTCGGGTTGACAGCCTGCCTTCTGGTAGAGCCACCATAGCAGGGCTGAATATGGAACACAACGTGGTGGTAGCATGCGAACATCTGTGCCGAGACCACAAAAGACTCTCAACCACGGGAACTACCCCCGCAAGAAAAAGAAAGACAAGTCTAGATGCTTGGTAGACAAAGGTTGTTGCTCAAATTTACACGAACTGTGGAGACATAGAGCCATTCATGCTCTGTCCCGTGGGAAAGGCTTCGCAGGATTGCCCTCCACATCGTTGCCATAGGGCTGCTTGTTTTTTTTGTCCTACATGACCCAAAGAATCAGCCTCACAGTTCTTGAATGTTCACGCAGCCGGCAAGCCTATTTGAGATCGGTCCGTGGGCACAAGCTCATCTGTGGCCAACTCCACGAGGAACTCCGAGACCCTGTGGCAAGGGCTAGGTCTTGGAGTTTTGGGAGTTTTGGGAGTCTTGGCCTTGTTGTCTGTTGAAAGCCTGCTAGGGCATGCCAGCTGGCCATGAAGGACAGAGCTTGCGTGGCAGGAGGCCCTGTCTTGAGCGCTAGGCAAGGCTTGGAAACTCAGAGCCACCATTCGGAAGCAACAGAAGGTCCCTGAACCCCAAGTTGGAGGTTCATGGTACTTACAACCCAAGTACAAGAAGAGAGTTCGCGGTCACGACTGGACGCGCAAGGCCAACTTCTACTTCTGAGGGCGATGCAAAAGTGAGTCAATCCTAGAGCAAGGTCCCGATTTACTCGGTTTTAGAGACAGCTGGCGGGCGGTCTCAGACACTTCGTGGCCAAGCTGAAGCTGAGAAGCAGCACTCCGGAGTGACTTGGGGCAAGTGACCCAGAAGGTGGCATACTTTCTCTCAATGCAAACTACCAGTGCATGGTCTTTTTGGTGTATGTCTCAAGTTCCCTCAATCAGTCTCGCGTCATTCTGTTGCAGCCTCCTCATAGCGCTCGGAGCATCCCAATGAATCTCTCCGCCCAGATCGATGACATCGAGGTCTTGATCAACGAACCTCTGCAGGCAGAGCTGGCAGAAGTTTCACAAGACATGTGGGCAGTCGGGCCCTCACTAGCAATGCGCGGCCTACCATACTCAGGGCAACTGCACTACACAGCCAGATAGTGGCAATAGCGCAGGCTCAGGCTGTATTGTTGTCCGGACATGTCACATCCGAATCAACCTCTACAGGGCCCCCCACACCTCTGCTGGCTGCTTGGGGTTTCACCTATGTCGGGGCCAGCCTGATGTTGGAGACGCTGGCAACCTCATCCCAGAAGAGCCTTAAGTGCTTGCAGGTCAATGTCCAAAAACTTGCGGCATCTACTTGGACTATATTCACCGTAGCTTGTAAGAATATGTGATTGTGGCATCTGTGTATCCCCTTGCATCTTAACACGAGCAAAACTTTTGATGTCATCCACACCCGAGCAGCAGCGTCATTGGCGTCGTCTGCTCCACCAAAGAGCTCAGCGTGAACACCGCAAGGTGGGTGTAGGGAGGCACGCCTTCCAGACTTCCAGGGCTTGAGCCGGAAAAGAAGCGACTCCTTAAGTGCGACATGTGCAACTCTTCACCTGATCCCCCCCCCACCTGTGTCTGGCGGGATGAAGAGGTTGTGCACCCCGACAGAGGTGTTGCCCATGTACGTCAGCAGACACCAATCCTTATGTACGAATAGCTTATTCTTAAGTTGTCGTTTGGTGCCTTTCTGGAGTAACACAATAGGTTGGTGTCACGTGTCAAGGTACTGTTGAACAACTCGCACGATAGCAACGCCATTTAAGCAGGGACTGTGCTTGCATGTTTACCTTCTGCGGACAGCCTCTTGCGCAACAGCACGGCAGCATGCAGGTCTGTCAAAGGATGGAACTCTAGATTCCGTATCTTTGACCAGATCTTCCAGATGTGTCAGATCAAGAACTCTGAACAGCACACCGTCCTGCCTCTGACGCGCAACCTAGCTACAGATACTAGGAGAAAGAATGACAAACTCCTGCATCAGAACCTCCAAAACATTCTGCTACGTAAGCCGCAAACCCCTGCTCCCGTGGTGGTGCAGAATCAATGCCATGTCATGTCCCTTGCCGAGGTGCAGAAAGTGGCGCCGACACGTTGGATTCCTCCGATGGGTGGTTCAGGTAGCCTCGGATTTGCAACAAGGGTCCGTGGCTTCGGCGGTTCATATTATCTAGTGTCGGGCGCTCCTGTAAAGAACGCGTCCCAGGTTTGGGGTGTGGGGTTAGGGTGCTTGGTAATATATGGGAGCCCCAAAGCCCCGGTCCGAGACCCTCAGCCGTGGGCACTTTGCGCAAGCTAAAGCCTCGAGACTTCGGGAGACTTTCCTAGCTCCAGCCACCCAGTCAACACAATGCGTGTCGCACAGTTCTCCGCCTGCTTTGCCAGAGACAGACGCTTGAATCCCCATGTTAGCAAAGATTTAGCAAACCGGAGCGGCTGGTGTTGCTGCACGTGCGCGTTCCATTTGCCTGTGCCGAGGTCAGAGTGTGGGCAGCGTCATGTATTGGAAACATCGCGAAAAGCAAAAACATGCAAAAACACCGTTGAAACCCCCCCGAGTCCCCCCGAATTCGCATCAAATGCCAAACCAGAAGCTGAACTTGTTACTTCAGCCGACGATCTCAAGCCAACCCTCGCCTCTGTGGAGTTCTCCTGTGCTTGCCCCAGGTACACGATGTAGTGCGTCACCTCCAAGACCAAGGAAACTATGCCGGATTGCGTGCCAATTGCGGCGATCTATCCGGATCCAAATTTAAGGCTCAGATAGTCATTTTCAGGCCTCTCCAACATATATTTGTTTTGGGGCCGTCGGCGAAGACTTAGTAGCCGACCTTTAACAATTGCTTGCCTTTGCTTGAGTTTCGCTGTTACTTACATTTAAAGGAAGGATACCCCTCGCCGCCCTCGCCCAGACAGTCGTGAGCAGTCTGCGCAGTCGTTGTCTTCCCCATTCCCTGCCTGGCTAGTGTCGTTAGGCGCCTCCCAGGAGATGTTGCCTCCGATGTCCTGCGCACTCTGAGACGGACTAACGAAGCATAATTAACGAATCACGTCACGAACCAAAACGAGGCCAGGTAGGTACATGGTTGCAACCTTCTTCGGGGATCCTTATGGCCGCATGCCCGTCATTCATCGTTATACACATGGTCCCTTCGCACAGCAGTCGGGACCCATCAGAGGGAATGCCACATGAAAGGCGACACCTCGTAGAGGCGCACCGAATCTCGCAACTACGCCCTCCATGCTACACCTCCTTCAAAGGAAGTTTATGGACCCTTGAAAGGAGCAACAGTGGAGCAACAAAGGGTGCGTCCTCCAAGTCTAGATCGAAGTCAGGGAAGGCAATGTCGCTGACGAGAGACACCTGCAAGCCAGAGGTCCGGTGCGCAACTTGTCAGACAGTCAGACTCAGGAATTAGGTTGCCGCAATGCAAGGCGATCATAAAGCGACGATGTGTAGCCCTATAACGGCAAGGTGATGCAGCAAGATAATCATTCTGGACACAGAGTACTACCCTCACAACGGCCCTTCCTGCTACGTGCACCGCAAAGCCAAGCAAGAGACCTAGATTTCCGGAAATTCCTGGCAGTCTTCTTTCGAGTACGAATCCTCGTCGCATCTTGCCGCCTTGTCCTCGAACTCCAGCGCCACTGGTGTCGTCTGCTCCGCTAGCCAGGACTTCGTGTAGACGGCGAGGTGAGTGAAGGCGGCCTAAGCTGAGAGAGGGACGCGGAGGTTTGGCCAGTAGAGGCATAACTGCCTGAGACATCTCGCTGCAAACCTGGCGCTCAACAGCTTCCGGGGGGAGCTGAGTTTGTACTTTTGCCGAGGCTCCTTGGCCGTTTCTGCAGGCCACAGCACCTCTCTGAGGGGCACCAACAACAAATGCGAGGCCTTGGAACTCTCAGACACCCTAGACAATCCCGATCTAAGCCACCAACCGGGGTTACTGAATCCGATCAAGAACCCCAAAAGAGCTTTGTATGTCTTCCCCTGTAGGTGTGCTTAAGTGACTTTGTCGGTTCTCTGGCGCCTCCGTGGTGCCTACCGGAATGCTGGCGCCAGGATGGTGCAGGCGGTTCTTGCCTGTGGCGCTCTCTGCCAAGTAAAGCCTCAGGGGCCGCGGCGCATTGGGCTTCTGATGAAAGGATGCAGGGTCCCATGCCCCAACTTTTTTTGCAGAATATGGGAAGGGTTTAGTCTCATGGATAGGTTTTAGAGGAGGTTGAAGTGGACTACGCACATTGAAACTGTCTAACCTACCCACTGAAGCTTGTGCCCTACAGAATCCCCGCTGTTTGTTTACGAAAATGCCCAGCAATGCAGCAGAAAGGCTCATAGAAGAGAACCTGGCTGTGGCTAGGGGGAGGCTGCCAGTTGACATAGCCGCCCAGCTCATCCCAATCAAGGTCCTTCACGGGGGTAAAGGAGGTGCTATAGGGACAAGGTTGTGGCAACTGTTGCGAAGAAAGTCCTTGTCGATGAAGCCTATGTTGGACACGCTGGACACAGTGTCGATGATCTCGACCTCACTAACAATGACACGTCGAGCCCAAACCCAAACCGAATCACTGCTCAGGTTTTGTGAGTTGAGAACCGAGCTGAGAACAGCCATCGTACTTCAACACCTATCCATCGTTCTCTATCGTGGGGGTGCTGTAGCCCTTGTTTGCCATGAAGTGTCAAACCTTTCGTCAGAAAGCGTGGAACATGTTGAGCATGGGCACTTTAGGGCAGAGTCAAGTCCGTTGCTCAACAGGGGCTCGCACGAGAAAATGGAAACTTTAAAACTCTGAGGCTTCGGCGAAGCGGGGTGTTGTCTGCTCTGCCAGGCTCGAACGTGCGAAGACCGTCAAGAACCTTGCGGCCCATTTGCAGTGAAGCACGGGGCAAAGGATTCTCGTGGAGTCTTATCCGCCGCAGCAGGTCCCCCCCCCCCCCCCCCCCCCCCCTACACGTCGGGGCGCCTTTGTGGCGTGGCTGCCCCCTCCCCCCCCCCCCCCCCCCCCGCGCGGGCCGCCCCCGGGAGCTGCATTGGGCTGAGTCGGGTTGCGTAGCGTTAGACTACTTTGTGCCGATTTGGTGGGAACATGGCTCCTGCCGAGCATTCAGAATGGGGAGAATCAAAAAGGTTTGGGAACATGGGAAAGTCGTAGTCTTAACTACAAGCAGACAAAAAATGCTTCGCCACCGTGCAAGGCCTGAAGGATTCCAGCGCGATGTCCGCAGGCACGAGGAACTCGTGCGTCCCGACCTCTGGTATGAACTCTACAGAGAGCAAATACAAGAAGAAGGACAGTAGGCCGAATCCCGCCAGTCAAGCGGATTCGATGGCGTCGGATCAGTACACCCTACTTATGGACCTTTCAGTGCTCAAGGCATTCCTCATGTCATGCCATAACCCAGCATGCCCTCAACACCCGGAGGGAAGATGAACATGGAAAGATACCCCTCTGGCTGCTAGCGCCCGTAAAGCCTGTCAAGCCTGGAAATCCCCTTTCACCACTTCTTGATGCATCCATGGAGCGGTCACATTTCCCAAGAGGCTGCGATTGGCTCCTGCCTCGTTCTCAGCCAAATAGACGATGTAGTGGGTGACCTTGGCAACTTGGCTTTCCCAAAGTCTTTGGGCATTGGGTGGGTCCCCATCTCGGAGCTGGGGTCGTGCAAGCGTGTGGGGCTTGGGAATTGGTTGCTGCCCAAGCATGAAGACTCTAACATTAATCTCCTAATTGGATTCTGGGGGTGAAGGCTGAGTCAGAAAGAAACTTGATGTTAGCTGCAACAGCTTCTGCTTCCATGAGTTGCAAGAAAGGCATGGTTGTAGCCACACGGTCCAGGTACTGAGTGAGGAGTATCGAGCATCGCAGCAGCACCGCAGCGCGATGAAGTCAGTAACAGCTGCAACTAGCAGCGGCTTATTCATCGTCCCTCACGTCATTTTATCTTGTAGAAATCTCCGGCAATGGGCACATCAGCCTGAGGGACACCACCCAGAAGACGTCATGTTGCTGATCGCGAAGGGCAACGTACGTGTATCTGTGTGTGTGTGCTTGCTTGTTCAGTCTCTAGATTCCTGTTGATTGCAGCAGTGCCCTACTACCTGATAGAGTGTCACCCACCCAGTCTAGCAGTAGCAGCAGGCTGAGCCCTCAAGGAACCTCTAGGAGGAAAGTGCATGCACCAACCGGACTCCCAAACGGAGGTCTCTCTGTTGCATTTTGGTGTTTTTGTCGGGCTGCTTCGCTGGCATCCACCGGAATGCGCCACTGCAGCCAACCGCCTGTCCATGGAGCATTTGGCAAGAGAACTGGAAGTGAATATGCACAGCAGTACCGTGAGATAGACGGAGTCTTCACAGGAATCCGCAGTGTGCCGGCTCTGCCTATCTCAAACTCGTCCAGATCATCATCGACGAAGCTCACATTGCGGGCATAGGAAACCTCATCCTGCACCATGGTATGCAACAAAGGTGCTCTTTTGGGTTTAGCCCCGTTTCGGGCCTTGTTGAAACACGGTTTGAATCGCGGTTCGGTTTGGATACTGAATACAGTGGTTCGGACTGGTTCTCAATCAAACAGATTCCCAGCTGCACTAGCCCACAACTCCAACAATGCCTCTCTCAGGTCTACATACTACGAATGGCACGGAATGTGCCATGTAAATCCCGATGAGGCACTAGTGACGCTGAGCTTGGTGCCCCTGCAGACTGGCCCACTTGAGTCCTCAATCGCAAGGTGCACCGGGGTGGTCTGCTCAGCGAGACTCGACCTTCACGGAGATTCTGACAAGCTATGGGACAACTATTGTAGCCGCGATACGGAAGTGTAGATATCTCAGAGTAATGAGGAAGTTGCGCTTGAAAGTGAATCCTCTCTCTGCACTGCAAGGGTGCTGCAAGTCAAAGGCAATGCCCAGCCTCGTGTAGACCTTAGAAGTTGAGAAGAAGCAGTACCAAGCCGACAGGGCAACTGGACATTCCAAGGAGATTGTCTACCAGCCTTGCAAAAGCAACACCTAAAACCCCGAATTGGTTAACCTACAGGTTAGGGGGTCGTCGTTGTGACACCAGCCGTAACTGGCAACAGGTTCCTGTGCAGGGCATCAGCAGATGGTTGCAACACAACTTCAATGCGATTTCTTTGCGTCTGGGCGCCACGCAAATCATTGAACAAGCTGCGCAGATGGTGTGGAGGTTATTGGAGTTAGATCCCTCAAGCCAAAGTATCAGACTCCCGGGCTTCATCATGGGGCGCGAACAAGAAAACCTGGGCCTACATAATGCTTGCTTTCTATGAATGTCAGGGTCATTGTTGCCAACATGCGTGTTGTCTTTTCTCAGCAAGTTGCTGTGAAGAAGTCGAAGACTCCCCGTGGTTGCTCCTCAGCGAATGCGCATGTGACGGCTCTCTCGGGACCCTCCCCACCACACCCCACCACCCCCCCCCCCCAACTAAACCCACACCTGCACTTCAGGCTTCCTTGTACTTCTTCTGCTGCTGCTTGTTGTTCTTTTACTTGGCGCGCTAAGCATCGTCTACTGCTGCGACTACTACTTAACACCACCGTCATCACCACTGCCAAACCATGCACCAACCTTGACCCTTGAATTCTGAGTACATCTGAGTACTGAAGCCATGCAAGTGGCTGGGAACAGCGCAGTGTCATGGGTGCCCGCTGGCACTTCGCCACCCACCTCCGCACTTGGGCATAGCACGAGTACGGATCCGTCGGATTCTGGGGGTTTTCGGCTCCGAGTTGCATGGCAAAGCCTTTGATTCACCCTCTCAAAGTCTCCATGCCTTCACTAAAACTAAAACGGTTCCTGCTCTGAGGTCACCCAGTCAGAGGAAACCAAGACCTCGGCTCCTTGAATGAGGAAGGACTAGGTCGCTTAGGGCTTCCCCCCCCCCCCCCCCCCCCCCGGCCCTTCGAGATCCTGGAAGCCCTGCCCTGAAATCCTGAGACGCCACGGCTTCGGCCTGGGACCTGCCGGTGCCGTCGGGCAGGATGGCCAAGTAGATCATATAGCCTCCCAGGTGTTGCGAGAGGGCTGCTTAGAAACCACAGAAAGTTTTAGCACAAAGACTCGCCAACCCCGCGTTGCGGTGTTGCGGTGTGCGGGTGGGAGCCCCAGGCCTGGATCTCTGGGTTTTTCTGGGTCCCTCCTGAACCCAACCATTCAGAATCCTGAAGTTTTGCACATTCTGTGCAACAGAAGCCCGGCCAAAAGCAAATCACGATATGAGCTGTGCAGGTTTATGCTCTTTGCCCAGATCAAGGTCTATAGATCCCTAAGCTTCAACAAGTCAATTTGAGCGTTAAGGGTTGGGGTTTAGGGTTTAGGGTCCAGGGTTCCAGGCTTAGGGTTCAAGTCCAGAATCATACAGGGCCTTGCAGTCCTGGGAATGGCTACCTCGTAGAACGCGGGGCTTACGCGGAACTGTCGCCAAATACCCAGCCCTGAGAACTGCTTCCGGATTCCATTGGCTCTGCGAGTGGTTTCGGAGCCATCCGGGCAGTCTAGCAGGAAACTGAAAGCCTGGAAGCTGCTGGCAACACAGAATAAGACCTGGGCTACGTAAGAACTTTCGCGAATAAAAAACTTACTGTCGCACTCCCGACGCGGATCTTTCGCGGAGGCATGTCTTCATGCCGTGTGGCGCACATGACCGTGAGAAAAACAGGCGCTGTTGCCTTGAACACGCTCCATGAGGCTGGGTTCCACCCAGGCAATCTGCCCACCGAGCTCTTCGGAGTCCAGGTCCTGCAGGGCACATGAGCTCACGGGCATGTGCGAAGCCCGCAGTCCAGGCAGCGCGTATCAAAGGGGATTGCTAAAGCATTCGATTTTTGTGGCTAGGCCCTGCCGAGCATTCTTGAGCACGCTCAAAGAGGGCGGGGCGTTCGGGGAGGCTTTCGGCCGCGGGGACCCTCCTTCCCTTGGTAGCTGATGTTGCTCACGCTGGCGTCCATGTCGTAGATGAGGTGAATCTCCTGCTCTGTGTGTGTTGGGGGCTTCCTGGGCCTGCACACGTTCCTTGTTCAGCACATTATGCGGAAACCTTGGGAACCTGAAAAACTTGACCGAAACTTCTGCTCAAGACTTCCTCACCACGCGACTGCGCACAGGCCCCAGCCAAGTCAAACCCAACATTCAGGCACTTCGGGCAGCCGTGCACAACAACGTCTATATCCCCCACAACTTTTGTCCACCCCTAACTCTAGATCTAAGCATGGAAAGCCACCAAATCGCTAACATGAGGCTTGATCAGAAAAGGTTCGGTTAGCTGTGCGTTACTCAGTATGCATATATGCAATGTGACGCACCAAACTGCGGCCGAGGGCACCGGAGTGGTTTGCTCCGCCAGGGGTGAGGAGCTGTACACCAGGAAGTGCGTGTACCTGCTGAGCCGCAGAGCCCGAACACTGGAGATTTTCAACACTTGAGGGAACTCATCTCTGAACGACACTAAACAGGGAGGATTTTTATGAACACCAGACAACCACTCCAACACAGGAGGAGGACGTGCCTCTCGAGCGCGGTGTCTGGCGGCACCGTGAGATTGTAGGTGCCATTGGATGCGTTTCCGATGTAGGTCCTTCGAAAAGCCGTGATTGTGCCCTTGACTTGTGACCCGAAAGAGATGGCGGGAGGCAAGCTTTTCTTCGCACATACGCACTGCAGCGATCCGTCCGCAGACAGCAAGGGACTCTACCTCGTAGCCGTAACCGACCCCCGACTCCCCGACTCCCCGAAGAACAGCCCCGAAAGTACACCTTGAATAAAAAGCAGGTACAACATGGTACAACATGGTACAACACAAGACTCCACCCCCCGGTTCCCCTACCATACACCGCCTGATCAGCTTAAGCCTTGCCTTTGAACTCCAGCCCTTACTGCAAAACCTGCAAACTGCAAGCGCCATGGCCCGCTTCTGTCATCGCTTGACGTGGCTTGTACTGACCGCGCAACAGCCCACAAAAATGGTGCCTCCAGTGCCGTAAAATTCGGGCCGCAGGTGACAAAGAGTGTGGAATCGCAGCACAGGTGGGCCGGGCAAGCACTGTGGAGCAGTACTGCCACGCTGTCAGTCACCCGGTTGTGTTGAACCACCCCCACCAAGGAGGCTTCTTCGATTTGAGGGTGGAAGCCCGCAGCACGAACCAGACGTGGCTAGCACAGGTTTTCCACATGTGCGAACGAAGAGGACGTGGATTTGTGGGGTTGCCAAAGCAACCTGTGTCTACAGTGTGCCCTCATAAAACCAGAAAGAACTTCTTGCAGGCAAACGTCCAAAAGACCCAAATAAAGGCAGAACGGGGGCTTAATGCAACACCCCCAGGTAGGTGCAGTCCTGTAGCACATGACCAAGCCAGAGAAGTTCACCATACGAGCCACGGCCAAAGGATCAAACCTAAGGCTCCAGTGGTGGGAAGTGCCCTACATGCATCCTAAACCTCATGAGCGGCAGGCTCTTGGGTCTAGAAACATGGAAACCATGGATTGTTATCTGGCCAAGCAACCCTGGTGCTAACTTAACAATATCATCTGCTAAATGCTTCAATGTTTTCAACACAGTTCCCTGTTTGCCCACAGATGCGCCCAGGCAGCACTGGAACTCGGGACAGTCTCCGCATGCTTCCGTTCCACCAGCTGACGTTCCCATCCTCAGCAAAAAAAATGCTTTCTGGCGTCGGGATTCTGTTCTCTGGTCCTTCGGGTCCTGCGACTCGAAGATGTTCTAATGTTCTAGGAGGTACGGGTCTGGGGCTTCTGGATGGCTTTGAGGCTCTGGGTTCGCTCAAACTTGACAACTGTCCTGAGCACAAAGCAGATGTTCCATAAGCGTCATACACATCCCACTCCTACCGCTTTACAACTTTACAACAGTGTTCCACAAAGCCCCAAAACCTGCGAGATCTCGGCAGCATGCCCATTCTAACCCCTTTCAACACCCCCCGCCCCACGTTGCCACAGCTGCCAAAGTGTCAGACTCCTCGAAGTCCACGTCGCTCTCGTCGTACTCGGTCGTGGTTTCAGTGGTCGATGTTGTGGACTCCTCCATCTGTGCATATAAACTTTGTCTATACTGTAGTCCTTGTAACAGGGCAGACCATCTTACTCCGGCTGTTTCTGAACACATGTTCTGAAGGTACCACATGTGCTCGCGGACTTTCTGGGGCGACGATCAATAAGGCTATGTATGTAGAATCATCATCCACATTCACCCAGCTTTTCCTCGAGTGTAAGATCAATGCTGTCTGTTCAGTGAGAACAGGTCCGATCCGAGAAGCTCGCGCTTCGGCCAACCCCGTTTCTGCAGGGAAGCTTGAGGGTCCTCCAGAGATCCATCGCTGTCATCACTGTCATCATCGCTATCGCCTAGGCCATGCCAGGAAAGGCAAAACACACTGAAGTCCTCACAAGTTTCTTGCTATTGAAGCATTTATGAGGTAGTCGATGCCGAGTTTAAGTATCTGCTTCGGCCAAATGAGCTGGCAGGAAATGGAGCCAGAGTCCCGGAATCCTATAATCGGCCACGAACCAAAACGCAACACATCTGGAGGTACCCAGGACCCAAAGCCAAGCCGTGGAACCGCCGGCAGGAGAACGGGTGGAAGTGGTTGAAGTAGTGGAGGTGTTCGAAGTGGCTGAGGCCTCCACGCAGATTATCAGCGCTGTTGGGGCAATCACGTGAATTGCCGCATGAACTTGCGGGCGCCATCAGAGAAATACTGTAGTATCTCCAATCATTCAGACCCTTGATCTGCCGTGATTGTCAGGAGAAGAAGACGAGGTCCAATCCGTGGTTCAGGTAGGACGGGTTGGGTGTACACATAAATCGAACACGCTAGTGTCATCATGTTCCTACTTCGCATCATCGGTTACGCTGGTGGTGGGCACCAGCACCCAACAAAAAAGACTGTCTTTAAGCACGTCCATCTGTTGAAATCCGCTGGTCTGGCATGCAGGTGCTTGCACGTAGTGAGCTGCTCACAAGGCAATTGCTCTTCTTTCTGTGTGATTTTGGTGCTGATGACGATCAAAAGAACAATACCTGGGCACTCTCTCATGGCATGATGTGGCACGGAATCCATCGTTGCGCCGCCCGTTAAATCTCAAATTTCGTGGCAGCCTGTCTTGATTGCGTAGCGAAGCGCTGATTCCACTCTGTTGTATCAGGGCTGTGGAGTGGTCCAAAAAAACTGCAAACATGCATGTTCAGGGTTAAATGAAAGGTAGTTGCTCTTACATATATTATATTTTGAACAACCATGCTAAGCCACCCAAAGCAAGTCAAAAAGGTGAAGCCCTTCTGGCTCTTCACCGGGTAAGACTGGAGCTCCCTCAGCCCTAAACCCTGAACCCCAAAACACAAACCCCAAAACTGCTGCAAAGATGCGTCTCGGGAGGTTGTTGGAGTGGTTGATGGCTCCTCGCTCAGGCCCGGGGGGTTGCCACGTGAACCCGACCCCTGCAGCATTTCAACGTTTCAGAACACTAGCCCCCCCCCAGCAGATTTTGGGACTCAGGGTCGGGCCCCAAAGTGAGCTTGCCAGGGTGTCAGATTGGTTTCCATACCCGCCCTGGCGGATGACTATCTTGCCTGCTTTTGGCAATATACCTTCCTCGCTGCTTCTGGCTGCGCCACCACGACATCACTGAACGTACGAAAAACCCACGATGCTGAAATCTCAGTTTTGAGCTTAGCTTCTTCTTGCTCCATGCGAGTACGGTACAGTATTGCATAGTCTTCCTGAGGTGGGTAATTGAGATAATGTCTTCAGCTTGTCGGGCTTTGGGCAGGCCTGTCACACAGTGTCAGACCATACACTGGCCTCAGAGATTGCCACGAAAACTCCGACCTTCTCAGGCTAAGACTAAGACGACTGGACAGCTCTTACCCTATCTGCATAGGCCCTCCTATATTCACTCCTCAGTTGTGATGTTCATCGCTCACACCACTTTCTCAAGTGCAAAAAGATGCTCTCCCTTCGCTGACTGTGGCCTTTTCAAGGGAGAACATGTCTCCTGCGCGGAGGTGGAGGTGGTTGTCCATCGCATCGTGGTATTGTCACTATCCTCCTCCTCCTCCTCGCCTCGGCACTGCAGTGATGCGGATCCTCTTCTCAACGGCCCCAAGTAACGCCTAGCGTCTCTTATGACGTCTGAAGCAACCGTGTAGCCAAGAAGCAAAGATCCCTACAATCGACCGTTACCCGAAAAGTACACGTATGCAACCTGAAAGTGGATCTGGCCGCTGTCATCGCTGTCATCGCTGTCATCCCCATCCGTGGTCGTCGTAGGAGGACGTGTGGTAGTTTCACCACTCCTGTTGTCTGGTATGTTCCTTGGAGTTTTCGGTCTCGGGGCCAAAGGAAGGAGTTAGATGGGATTGATTGAGGATGTCATACAAACGAGACTTGTGGCTGTCACTGTAAGGATCTGTCATCTCTTGTCCAAAGCTGAGTAGAAGCTCAAACAATGCACATTCCACGCATCCACGGAAGCGTGACCCACGAACTCAGAGTGCTCATCGGTCGGCATGGTAGGGAAGCCGATGTTGCATGTGGCTCTGCATTTTACTTCCAAGTTTCTCTTCATCCGTTGTGGTAGCCGTCCACGTCATTGTGACAGTCCTTGGCCCGATTCTCAGTCTCCGCAGCTGGGTGATTTCGAGGAACGTACTAGCCATGCGAAGTGAGCAATGAAAGTCAGATCAGTACGCGGCATTGTCCAAATTTTTCAACCCCCGAGCATCACCATGCTTGAGGAGCCAGGGAATGACAACTACTCATCCCCAACATAAGATCTTGTGGGATGTCACGAAACAGAACCATACTCGAGAAGCTCCTTCAACCCTTCAATCACGCCCATGAGATCCTGATTCTTGAGTACCCTCCCAACACACATGCTCAGCGTCAGCGTGCGCGTAGTGGAGGGAGCCGGCGCGGTCGCCTTAAGATGCGCT